TGAATGCTGAGTATCATCTGATTTATCTCCATTTATGCCCTTTGCCTTCTTGGCTAGCTTCTTGAAGGATACCATTTTTTTGCCTAACATGTTTGGCTTTTTGAGCTTTGAATGGGAAGGGAGAGGGGTTTGGACTATGCTATATATAGAAGGGGAGAGACAGAGGAAGTGGTGGGCTTACGGCGAGGACTTAGAGGGTAGCTAGGGGAGAATTTGTAGGTGTGGTCCTTGGAGGTGAATGTGACAGAATCGGTCCTTTTCTGACTAAGTCAGTGATTGAGAATCTATGAATAAGTTGCGTCTCTAACATTGATATTTTTCTTCTTTCCTAGGTTGAATCACCAATAAGGCAAATAAATAATGATTTAAAGAAGGACTATGATTGGTGCACACTTGGATTCAACACCCGGATGTGCACACTCCACATGAAAAAATAAAAATGAAAAACCCGTGTTTCATTTTTTTTTTTTTTTGGAAATGTTCACATTCGAGTGTTAAATCCAGGTATGTACACATCATTTTCCTTCAAAGAATCTCAATCTATTTTAGCAAAAAAAAAAAAAAGAGAAAAAAATTTCAAAACAACCTATTAAGACCTCAGAATAGTTAGAATCAATGATGATTGATGAGTAACACCCCAACCTTGAATGTATATATACCTTGTTGGGTGGCTTCTGGGATTCTGAAAGGGTGATAAAAATCATAACGTTGGAAGAGGTACATGCATAATATCTATCGATTTTAAAATCTTCGACATTTTTTTCTTTCTAATCTTTATCATTTTTTTCTTTTTAATTTTATTTTCATGTTGAGATGTTGGACAAGTGACATTGGAAAGTTGCTTCCACGTTAAGATAAGAAGATAGTTAAAAAAAGGTTGAGTTTATTGCTATCAATAAATTTATTAAGGATATTAGTTTTAATTATAATTTTATTAGTTTAAATTTTTTTAATAATTAATTATAATATTTAAAAATATATGTTTACAAATTAATTTTAATTTATTAAATAGCAAATATTAATTATTAATTATTAATTATTTTTAATAATTAAATTAAAAGAAAATTTTAATAATTGTAATAACTTTAATAAATTTATTAGTGGTCATAATCATAATAGTTAAATAACATACCTTTGGGATTCTACAATGCAAGAAAATCAGTTATTAGTACAAAAGTTGAGTGAATTAGTGAAGGATATATATATTTTGTATGGTAGAATTAGTAAGGTTTTTGTCAACATATATACTGTAGTAGATGATTGCACGTCTATTATATACTAGCACTTGCATGGTTACTATTGTTTGGTATATATGAGTGTCAATGACCAGATATAGTGGTACAACAAATTTTACATAAAAATTCAATGTAGCTATAGGTATCACTTAATTATAATGGTAGTAAGAAGTTCAAATAAATGATGACAGCAAATTGATTAATAGACCAAAGAATAAGAGCAGGTTATTGTTACATTTTAAATAATTAATATTATATATTTTTAATATAATTATTTATTATATATTTTTGTTATATATATTTTTATAAATTTCACATTTTGATATTTCTTAATAATTAAATTAAATGATATAATCATCAATTAAAATAAAAAAATAGTATTAATAATTGAGAATATAACAATAATATATTTTATTAAAAAATGATGATGGAAAGTAAAATCAAAACATGTAGTCCTTTACTTTATTTTTATCTTTCTTTTTTTCAATTCTTTTTTTTTGTTTCATTGTTTTTTTTATAATAATGTTATAATTATAATATTATATAAAATTATAAATTTATAATTATAATGTAATTTTAAATGAAA